ATATGGTGGACATTTACAAATTTGACAGTGACAAAAATGATGTCTGATGCAATTCCCTATTTTAAATGTGCCGTATGTTTCCGTGTTTTTTTCTGGTGAACAATTGACTTTCTTTTGCATTTGTTTGGGACAGGTGCCCCCGATGGGCAGGATATGCCAACCTTTTTGCAAACATCTGATATGATTGCTATGTGATAGTGATTCATAAACACATGCTTATGATAGAGTCATAATCTTTCAATGGACTCTGGTTTCAAAAAAGGTTTGTCATGATCATGCTTAGGATTTGTCTCTTTCAATTAATTATTACAAAACAGCTAAATGAAAATGGGCTGCTTTTAGGTTTTGTCTGAATTTTTCTACCATCATTTTTCAAATCACACTGCACTTGGTCATTGCTGTGATATCATATCAATATTCATATTTATAGCACGAAGAATCTTTTGGAACATTGATCAGACATGTCAAGATTTAAGATCACCTTCAGAGTCATACAGTCTGAAAAAGATTTTTTCACTTTCTAACACAGAAGAGCTACAGGGCCTCGTTCATTAGAGGTTGTGAGTGACCGACAATTAAGGTCAAGGTCACAATGAAGGTAATTTCATAAACTGTTTTCTGTTTTCACTGAATCACCTTTCCCTGCAAAACTTGAAAGTCTTGTTTTCATTCTGCAATATAATTGTTATACAGTGCAAGCTGCCTTGAATGCAACTCACCCACTCATTCCAGCACAATCACTTTAGGGTGCTTGTTAGCTTCCAGTATATGGGAATGAAACATTGAACTGTCACACTGAATACCTGATACAAAATTGTCATGCAGAGTAGGATTTTAAGACTGTTGAAGAGAATGTGACCAGGGGAGCTACACTTGTTTTTCATGTGACCGGAATATGCCGAAGGTAATAATATTTTTAAAAAACTGAAACAGATGATCATAGAAATGTTTCCCTGCAGAAAGTATATCAAGTTCTGTGTTGCTTAAAGTGGTTTTGATACCTGAAATAGGCTATGTAGCAAGAAGTTCAAGTCAGATCAAGGAGACACGATATTCTCTAGAGATCCATAAAGTACAGATGTGTGACTTGTGGTCATGCCATGTTTGTAAGAGAGTGTTGTCACACGGCCACAAGTCACTCAGCTTGTGTCAGGGTCGGGAGGAATATGTAAAAACACTAATTAGCTCTGTCGCTTCACAACACAATCTTTTATTCCCTGCAGAGTGCAATGAAATAACAAACATTTTTTAATGTAATTGGCAGGAAACAATGGTGACATGTTTAGCTCACCTGACTGAAAGTCAACAAAGCTTACGAGTTCATATGTCATTTCCTCTTTGTCCATTTTCTGTCATCAGCCAGGCGTCATCCATCTTGTCATAAACATCTACTCTACATAAGCCACTCTACCAATGAAGCTAAAATTTCACATACATGTTCCCACCAATTTTACACCCAAATTTATTTCAAGAAACTAGATTCTGATGTCGCATTCTGAAAAACCTGTTTACGGCCATTACTCAGCCATTTGTTGTTGAAAATTTACTGAAATTTGATACATTCTTAGTGGATCTCAAGATATATGTTCTGTCGTTTTGTGATATTTGAATTTTGACCATGATTTGACCTTTTGTACTTCGACCATTCTGAAAGCTGAAATGTCTTATGGCCAAAACACAGCCATTGTCTTGAAAAATGAATGAAATTTGTATATGTGTTTTTAGTAGTGGGGATAAACATATATCTTCTGTTTTTTGTGATGTCATAAGTTTATACCTTTATTTAACCTTTGCACTTTGTCTGTGTTCATAACCTCTCTCAAAAATGCATTTCATTGAACTCTAAGTATCATCTTCACAGAAACTGCTTACAGCCATATTGAGAAACCTGTTCATGGCCTTGACTCTGCCTTTTTTGTTTAAACTTTGATGAAATTTGGTGTATGTGTACCATAGTTGTTAGTGTCTCAAGATATATGTTCCGTTTCTGTGTGTACTATTTGGTATTTTGACCTTGGTTTGACCTTTTGTACTTAGACCTTTGATACTTAGATCATACTTCTAAATTCTCTTAAATACATATTTGGTTCTATAGACTTCTCATATTGCATGGGTGTTTGTTCAAATTTGTCTCCAACTGAAGAATTTGCTTGGCAACAAAAACTCCTGTGTGGTGTCTGGATCAGAATAAGTCTTCACGTCCTTATGCTTGTTTTAAGAGCCGACTAAAATGGGGTTGGGTGGACAGGCTCTGTTACACTGAAGAGTTATATCCCTTGGTCTTAGAAGGATCTGCTGGTAGCTGGTTTTGAATCCAAGTTTAGCCTTGGTATGAACATCAATACCAGTCCTATTGTATTGTGAACAGCAAACCATGATATATGTTTCATAAGGAAGGTAGACTTGAGGTCAGAGGCACCGCATCTCTCTGTATTGAGTCGTAGGGCATCACTATGATGATGCTAGTCCTGCACCATGACTGTGGAATATATTTATTTTATGAAAATATAATTATCTAGAAACGCACACAAAAGCAAGTCTAGCCAGCTCAAGCTAGCTCTATTCCACTTTCTGAAATCATCATAGGGAATTCTTTTTTATTTTTAGAGTCAAGAAGGATATTGTGTAATATAATATTTCAGAGACTAAATGTTAGTCTATAATGATGCCAGTATGCCACCTTACCAACTCTTCTGGGTGTGACCTCACTCACTCACTCACTCACTCACTCACTTTTATGGTGTGATGAGCAAAAGCTTAATCCATTAACCCACATAACCCTACTCTTCACCCCTTACATACAAAACAGAAGAAAGAAATGTTGACAAAAAATAAGACAGTACCTTGGTCACAAAAATATTATATGTGTCCAAAGCAGAAAATCATTTGTTGCAAAACACCAGATTTCATTCGTTATTTAGAAGCAAAGAAGAAGGATAACACCTTTAAGGACTTCACATCACTCATCAATGTTGGATCAAAAGATAGCACAACAGGAGATAACCACTGTTCAAGGTGCAGGGTCCCATCAATTTCAACAAATGTCTCAACTAAGGTCAGTTATGAGGCTAAAACACTTTTACTGCAGGGTGTGGGGGTTATTGCAGCAGACAAGACAGGGTCTGGTGTTCAAATCAACGCTGCACCCTGTTGGCCCTTGTCATCAACTGGGGTCTTATGCTCCTCTGTGCAGTGTAAAGGATCTTTGATGTTTTTCCACAATCAAATTTGTAATGATTGCGTCTTTATTGTTCTTTAACACTGACTCTTTGTAAATAGAAGCACTGTGTATTTTGGGTCGTTGGGGAAGACTTGTGGTTAAAGCTTAGTGTCACGCTGACAACTTGGGCTCTGTTGCTTTCAGCTTAGGATTGGTCCTCAGCAACTTGTGCTAGTTGTAAGAGGCCACTAAATGGATTGTGTTGTCAGACTCAGTGACTTGGTTGATTATGTGTCAACATACCCTGATGGCATGAATCATTGCTGACAATATCAATCACTGGATTGTCTGGTCCAGATTCCATTGTTTACAGACTGCTGTCATCTAGTTTGAACATCTAAAACTTTGTCAGTCATGATATATTTCTGTCCCTGCTTAATCTAGAGGTAGAGTGACACAGGTCATGACCATGAAGTAAGGTTGATATAGAACCAAGGTTCATAGTTCTGTCAGATCAGGGAAGCAACTCTGCTCATGAAAAAATAGTGTGCACTTCTTCCGTAAAAGTGTGACAATGATGTACACAGTGTGCACACTGTTATTATGTTTATACCTCCACAAACAGACAAAATAATAATGACAAATAAAGTAACAAAACCCTTTCCATATTGATTAGAAATCTCTGCCAAAAGCAGAGTCGATTGGATGATTCTGACTATATCATAAGCATGTGTTTGAATCACTATCAAACAGTGATGATACCAGGTGTTCGCAAGACTATCCTGCCCCACTGGTGGCACCCATCACAAACACATACAAAGGCAAGTCAATTCACCCAAAACAAACACGGCTACATATGGTACAAGTCAAAAAAAGGAAATTGCATCAGACATCATTCTTGTCACTGATGTGTCAAATTTGGAAATGACTCTCACATATCTACCATAAATGTTTCTGAAAGCATTGCTGAGACCTTGAATGTTGTAACCTTGATGAAACAGTTTCTGAGCAAGTGTAGCATGACGCTCTTTGAAATCTTGGTTCAAAGAAAGTCAGTTCTTAGCTGTATCATGAAGTAGTATATGAAGGTGCCATGGTGAATCAGCTGAGCCCTACAGTGACCAGGCTTGTTATACACTGTGAAACCTGGATGGGACATCAAGCCATGGTTTAACACCTCTGGCCAGATCATATCCCATCAACAATACTGTGAGTGTGTTCATTGATTAACACTACAGTGTGCAATATTCCATATGATGGAGGCCTGTAAATAGTCTTGTCTGGACCAGACAATCCAGTGTTATGATGTGCAATGATCTACACTCTCAGGCATGATTAGCATCTGGTCCGTCTGGACAAGTAGAAAGTTGATGGTGTGCCTATCTGTTATTGTATTCATTCAAAGTGCAGAGTGATATTTTCCCTGTGAAAATGGAGTCTAGGTTTTAGAAGTATAGTGCCAAAGGTCCATTTGCCAAGAAAGGAGGATAATGTTTTTCAGAGGTCAGTGATCTGCTTTAAAATTGCTGGCTATATAAAGTTGTAAAACACAATTTTCTTATTCTCTCATCTAATTCATCAGTTATTACTTACAAGAAATTGAGTCCGATGCGTTTTGTCTTTATGAACTATATCCAGTATTTTCTGTCTGGATTGTTCGTCTGTTAACCTTGTCAATATCATTATGAATGCAACACATCTCTTTCCGTAAGTGGCAATCCCTGTACGAATGCTGATATCTGTCTTTGTTTATATCACTTGTTTATTGCTCTGTCTAGACAAAATTGATGTGCCCCTTCTTTGATGGCATCACCCACACAGCGACGCCACCAACATCTTACATGTTTATACCATATGTCTTTTGTGAGACAAACGTGTATTATCAACATACTCTGTCAGTCTATTGTCAATCTACGATTGAACAAATGAAATCAGCATGATGGAAAACAGCAGCTACAAAGGAAGTTACATTGATTATCTCCCTTTAACAATTTCACATGGGAAGGTAATGTTGAGTAGAGCAATGTCTATTTGTCTTATTTTTGTGAAGCCAGTTCTTAGCAGAGATCAGAGAACTCATGTAATAGTGGTTCCATTGATGATATACACTATATTTCATCCTTGTTGTACAGGTTTTTACACATTTGTCAAAATACTGAGACAAAAAGACCACACACAAAATGTTTTCAATGATGAATTGTTCTTAGTTTCGGTAAAAACTTATGAAATATTTAATTCTTTTTAAAAAGATACACGAAAAGTATATTTCATAGGGTTTTTTAATCTTGCACAATTTCTGTTGAAACATGTAGAAACATGTGAGTTTGGCAAAATGAAATTAATGATTATATATAATATTAATTAGAAATGCTCTATAATTAAGAGGCTACAAACTACATGTTCTTGATAGAGTTGAAACAAACTTAGAACAAATAAATACTTTATATAAGCATACATGTGAATCCAGTTGTTCTTAGTGAGTGGAACATGCAAAATGATAATTATAAATACTTTAGGGGAACTTGATAACGGAGTGGGGAGATTATTGGACTATGGTTTTGACCATGGCAAAATAAGAGTCTCTAGTATTTCACATTTGTCAATAGATCAGACTGATATTTGAGACAAGTGGTCAATAATAATAATAATGATAATGATAATAATAATAATATTTTCAAGAAGTGGCTATCTGAACGACCACTGCATCGAGTTTATGTGCAGTATTTTGAGAGGATAAGCAACCCTGGGGAGTCCTTCACTTGGATGAAGTCAGCTGGCCTGAAAAGTGAAACAGACCAGTCATTTCCCGCTCAAAACCATCAATGTATTGTTTTGCATCAAAATGAACATATGAAACGTAGAATATGCAATGAATTTAATGAGGCTGTCCAACACATTGTCAGTGAATGTCCATCTTCAGCACAAACACAATATCTTAAGCGACATGATGGTGTTGCTCGATCATTTTATGTTAACTGTCTTCGCTACCTTGTGGTTTTGACACAGAGGTCCATCCATGGTTACAGCCCAGAATATTTAGAGGACATCATGGAAAGGGATAAATACAAAGTTCTTTGGAATAGGCCCGAAAACAGCCTCAGACCTTTTCAGGCCAACAAACCTGTGTAATGCAGAAGGCTGCAGTGTTGGGGAGTCTTCACATTCTCCGAAAAGTTCTGGGTGGGTATGACTATAGGCAGCGCTTCCTGGGAGAAGTTCCATTCGCTGTCTTGCTGAGTGTAGAAGGGGTAATGGTTCTGAGCTGATGATGAGCCTAACCAGCCTGACTGTGCCAGGATCACCCAAACCCTCTTCGCTGCATTTTTTTGTTTTAATCTGTAAATGATTACATGCATTAGTTTGGCACTGTTTTCCATCCACTATGTGGTTGCTCAAAGTGACTCCCCCCCAAACACACACACACAACCTCTCAGCCAATTGATCAGTGTGCACTCAACAATCATTCTCAGCTCCCTGGGGAGTATACAACCCATGTTGCATTCCTTTGGCATGCCAGTAACCCAGTTAGCCCTGATTATGTTGCTAGTTATGTCAGCTGCATGCTCATGGGTTTCACCAACGTGGTTAACGTCGAAGATTGCTTCTCGCTTTCCCCCCACAATCTGTGATGTAGCAGAAATACTGTTCAAGGCAGTGTTAAACCATAATACAAGATGGCAATAGAACAGAAACATGCCAGTTCAAAATCTAGTTCCAGATAGCTGAGGTGACATTCGTGCAGTGATCTTGGGAAAACACCACTGACCTCATTAGATCCTTCATAATAAGGTACTGAGTCCTGAGACAACAATGTCCCAGCATTTTCTGAATTCTTGTTGTTTTTCCATTACCTCCGACTGAACCAAATGATGACATTCAAAATAAGGTGACAACATTAAGCCTGTTGTACAGGACATTGACACAAGCTTCAATCCTGCTAGGCTTATTTGTTGCCACCAACAACATAAGCTTTATAGGCCTCATAACAATCTCCTCAAGAACTTCTTTTTCTTCTTATATTTTTCAGGGTTCATGAACAGGTGATTATTTTCAGGTACTTGAATACCTACCCTGGTAGAATATGGCTGACGAAATAAGCTGTTATCTTATTAAACTTGCTTCATTGGCTCAGACTAAGTAACACACCAAAGCTGTGATATTTATTTTTAGGTAATTCAGCAGGTTTAGGGCTAGAAAATCTCAGAAGCTGTGCCAGGATCCGTTGATTGTGGGTTTGTATCGCACTTGGATTATAAGATCTTAGCATGGTTTCTCTGCATGTCCATAATCTGTATCACCGTTGCCTTCCTCCCACATGAAGCTGACACATTGTGATATAACTGAAATCATGTTCAAATTGGGTTAAAACCCAACTCATCATCACTCATTTGCCCTCTGATTTAGTTGTGCCCCATTTTCAATGTCACCCAAAACATGTCTGTTCCATCTGCAGAGTAGCAGCCCTTTCATATATGACAGGATCCACTGATCTTGGGTCCTAACATCAGATTCAGCCCAGTAATGACCCAAGTTCCATTTGGGGCTTTCACATAATGGTAAAGGTCTACGACCTACATTACTTGGGTCTCTCCTCATTCATTAAGCTTGGGCACGGGTGGCCAAGCCGACTAAGGCGCCGCGATTCGCTGTGCAGAGTTGCCACCCTTGGACACGCCAGAAACCTATGATTGTGGGCTCCATACCCGTGCTCGTGAGTTTCACTGAAGTGGTAAACGTCTGAGCTCTGCATCACTTTGGGCTTTCCTCCCATATTAAGCTGACACGCCGTGATATAACTGGAATACTGTTAAAACAGCATTAAACCCAACTCACTCACTCACTCATACATTAAGCTTACAAAGCCTGATTTAACTTAAATGTTTACTGTCACTGATGAAGAGAAGGAGAATAATATTCAATTTCTGTCGCAAGTATGGTAACACAAGTCTTTGGCACCAATGGATTAGGTCATGTATCATCTCTTTCACACCCCAAAATAGAGCCCGATGCTAGCTGTCAGATTGATCTGATTTGAGACTGGCTGTTTAGAATGTGCTGTTATTGTCAATCACCCTGGTAGACTATGCTGTAAAGCATCATTCAGGCTTTCCTACATGGCAACTTGCAGAGAAGTACAGTTTTCTTTGCACACCCTTTAACAAAATTTTATTTAATTTCACCGAATTGGAAAAGGTCTAAAACATATAACACATCAAGGTTACATGACATGATATATACGTGTACTGACATACAGCTCAAAGCAGCATTAAACACACCTATGCGCCCATTGGGGTATTACATTGCTAAAAATGGTATAAAATCATACTTTCTCACTTATTGTGATATTACATTGCTAAAAACAGTGTAGAACCAAACTCGCTCGCTCACTCACTCACTCACTCACTCACTCACTCACTCACTCACTCACTCACTCACTCACTCACTCCTCACTCACTCACTCACTCACTCACTCACTCACTCACTCACTCACTCACTCACTCACTCACTCCATGGTCTGCCCGGTGAGATGAAGGTCCAGAGTTCGATCCCCAGCTGCATCATACATCGGTGTATTGTGTCTGAGTGGGGAATTCATGTTAAACTGCGGCATGGCATCTCAGTTTGGTACCACTATAAAATTGGCATTAGTCTGGACTAGTATAAACAGATCCATGCAGACAAGCACTTGTGCAATAAGTGCTATAATCTTGGCCGCAACGTTAAACTCCATTTCACCTCACCTCACTGCTATTACATTGCTTATAACAGTGTTAAACCATACTTACTCACTCACTTACTAACTCACTGTGATATTACTTTGCAAAAAACAGTGTTGAACCATACTTACTCACTCAAAACCTTTTGTACTTTAAATTAACCCCAAACTGCACTTTGTCCAATCTCTGGCCTAGTTACAGATTCCATCTAATATGGATCAATGGGATATTACTGTGTCTGGCCAGCTTATTCATGGCAGCAGCTGACCATTTGTTTCTGTTCCTGTCTGCTTCAGCCACTTGCTGTCCAGCTATCCTGGCATCACGAGTATTATCATTACATCATTAATCTGGCTCTGGACTCATGTATCTGTCTGGTCACAAAGGGTGCAGGGAGTCGGTTACTTTGTTGAAATTTCATTGTGTTTCACATGTGTTTCCCATATCTCATGACCACATAAGACTTGAAATACCCTTCATGTTGAATATAAATGAAACATTGTTTCACCAAAGCAGTTACAACTTTTGATCACCATGTAATGCTTTGGCCTGCTTGCCTGTTGACAGTGTAGCAAAGCGGGGAGTCATCCAACAGACTGCTTCCTTATCATTTCAGCATGCTGATGGTGTTAACCTCTTTAGAAATGTGGACAAGGCATTTGACCTCAGATCAGAAGGTCCTTGAAGTGAATCACATCACGGGACATTTTATTTTCTCTTCATCATCATAAGCATTGTAAACATCAAATCCATTGAAAACACAATTTATGATTCCAGGGTACAAGTGGTCCCCAGTATGCTTTGCTTGTTGTTAGGGGTGACTGAAAGGTATCAGGTGGTCCCACTCTGTGACTTGGCAGATTGTGTGTCATCCTATCACTGTGGTATAGTTAAATGCTCATGCTTTCATGACCGCCTCCCTGGTCTAGTGGTGGAGTGTCTGCCTTCAAAGTGGAAGGTCCGGGGTTCGATCCCCAGCCGCGGCATACCAAAAGACGTACTTGTTGTTACCCTGCCTGGTGCCCTAAAACAAGGACTGCTGGTCTCTGAGTCAGTTTCCAATGTCTCGGTGGGGTATTCATGTTAAACTGGGGCATGATATCTCAGTGACCTAGCACTGTAAATCAGCATTAGGCCAAACTAGTACAAGCAGCCACACACTTGATAGTTTGGGGCAACTGTTCCCTTAATTTACTTCATAGTGTTCCTGGTTTTGATAAAAAAACACCAACAAATAATAAGGATTCACAAGAAAAAAGACATTTCACAGAAAACATGTAATGTGCAAATTCACAATAACAGGACTGTTGAGAAATAACAGATCAAAGCTAATTCTTAACATAAAATATTGAATCAATGCAAATTAAAACAGCCAATAATGTGTAAAATAACTCAAGATAGAGCATCAGCCCTGAGAGCGGAAGGTCAATGGTTAGATCCCATTGGTGCGTCATGCATCAAAAGACATTTAAACTTGGTTCTTAATGTTAACCTTCCTGGCGCCATGCATGTCGCTATATGAGTGCGATACACTTCACGTCACCTCAGCATCATCTTCAAGAGGTTCAGTTGTATTTTCAGATTATATTTCCAAAACTCTCAGTCAGGATGAAGACAAAACTTTAAAAGAATTAAATTTCAGGTCTGAAGTTTAGTTGAGTGATACCTGTTTAGTTGAAGCGTTATGGCCGAGTGTCTTAATGAGACAGTATGCTTTTACTTGAGGTGCAGCTGCAGGATTTAGAAGATCAGACAATGTAGGCCTGGAATTGAGCCCTACCCAACCTTGACTTGTCTGGTTGTCAGGTATAATCTGTCTCCCACTGTTAAATGGCAAAGTATGTGCTCTGAAAGTAGGGTTAATAACCGAAGAAACAAAATTCTAAATGAGTTTACACACTTTTTACCTTGTGCCACATTGTTTATGCTCTGGTTGGTGACACTTAATGTCACCGTGAAATCTTTAAGAGCTTTTAAGAATGTTTTACACGCAAAAACATAAAAACTGGTATATATACGCCTACACTATTATACTTTTTACCATACAACATTCTTTTAGATATTTATGATATGATTTAGGTTGAGTGAGTTCATATTTTATGTTGCCTATTGTTGGCAATATTTCAGCTGCATAACGATGAATAATTATGGCTGACTGTTAGGGTCATATTTACTTATGCAACAGTACCATTGAAATAGTAGTCCCTTACGGACCCTGGAGAAATTTTTTACAAAAAAATCACTCTCTTCCCAGCCCTAGCGGCCGAGTTCTCTTTCCCTTTTAGCAGTAAGCTACCATTGTTTTTACCAATCTATCTTGTAACTGTCCAGTATTTGTAACTGTCCAGAATTTATACTTACCCTTTGGCACAAAAGCAGCCCAGAAGTGTGTAAGTTCATTAATGCAACTGTCAGCAATATTATTATCATGTCTGGATCAAGTACAACAGTGACTTGACTGCCTCTGTGGTCTAGAAGTGGAGTGTCTGCCCGGAGAGCAGAAGGTCAGGGGTTCGATCCCTGGACGTGTCATTCCATAAGATGTTAAAAGATTATATTTGTTGTTACCCTACATGGTGCTCGGCATTTAGGGACTTAAACAAGGACTGTTCGGCTCGAAGTCTGTATACTGTGTCTGAGTGGGGTATTCATGTTAAACTGCAGCATGGTATCTCAGTGGGCGAGCACTTTAAAATAGGCATTAGTCAGGACTAGTACACGCACGCACACGCACATGCACATGCACACGCACACGCACACACACACACACACACACACACACACACACACACACACACACACACACACATAAACAATGTAAGTGTAATAATCTTGAATGCAAATTTAAACTCAATTTCACCTCACCTTGCCTATGACAGTGACTGAAAGCAATGATCCCAGCTATTTGTGAACAAGAACAGACAAGCAGCCAAATCCCATGGCGTGACCTCTGATCACTGGTTGGTTAGCCTCTTCAACAAGCTTGAGATACTGGGGACATTCCCTGGTATCTCTACAGGGTCATATCTAAGTAAATGTGACATTGAAGACCTGAGTTCACGAGTTTCACATCTATGCTTGTGGTAAGAGGGGACTAATGGGATCAGGTGGTCAGGCTCAATTAGTTGGTTGATGCATGTCATCGTATCCCAATTGTGTAGATTGATGCTCATAATGTCAATCACTGGATTGTCCGGTCCAGACTCAAGTTATTTACAGACCACAGTCAAAAAGCTGGTATATATCTGAGTGAGGCATTAAACAACAAACAAACAAACAGATGGCTGTGATAAAGCTAAAATATTGCTGAGTGTAGCGTTAAGCAAACAAACAAACAAATCCGTTGTAAATTTCATCACCTTCATCTCTTTGGGCTTTCCTCCCAAATCAGGCTTACATACCTGTGATAAAAGAGGGTAAAACCAAACTAACTCACTCCCTAATGAGGGGGTGGTCCGGTAGCCAAGTGGTTAAAGCGTTCGCTTGTCACACCGAAGACCCGGGTTCGATTCCCAACATGGGTAAAATGTGTGAAGCCCATTTCTGGTGTGCCCTGCTGTGATAAAGCTGGAATATTGCTGAAAGTGTCGTAAAACCCCACTCACTCACTCACTCCCTAATGATCTTGAAGTTGTCTTAATGGTTTTCATTTTCACACAATGCAGCCATTCAGTCTAATTTAGTTCACAAAACATAATTCTTCACTTGACTCTACATTTCATCAGTGACGCAGAAATAATCTAAATTTGTAGGAAACTTTATGTCATGCAGTATTCATCAAAGAGCAATTCATCCGTATAACATAACATTACAAAATAGCAAAATGGCATCTTGAAAAAAACCAACTCAGCATGCAAGCAAAAATTTACAGAAAGCTGTCAACCATTGCACAGCTTGATTTCTTTCCAACTATTGGCCACATCGATTATGTTATCAAATATGCTCATTTAGAGGATTTCTGAAAAGCGATACTATTGTAGTGTGAATAAACCAATTTGATCATCATAATCATCCAGATTACTGCAGTCTTTCATCATTACACTCAGCAGGAGGAATTCACTCCTACTTTTTCATAACATTAATGGACATAACATGCCGTTCATGTGCCCAGTCCATAAACCCAGCTATTGTCAGTTCACAATTGGCAACCAGTTGCTTCGGAAAGTTGTACGCATGAAGGAATCAATAGAAAGCTAATAGAGATGATATATCGTTGATTTCCGTCAATCTTTGATCTGTCGAAGGCTGAAGACGGCACTGATGTTGAGAAAAGACCGTGTCGTTTTTGAACAGTGGGACTGTGATTAATAATGGCATTTAGTGAGGGCATATCTTCGATTGATAGTTATTGAAAGGGCACCTGCTACTGTGGATAATATTGAATTTGTGTTACGCTCCAGACTGTATGATTAAGAAGTCATAAACTGAAATTGGAATCCATCAAATTGACATTGACAAGGTGGTACTTTTCATAAATCATGCACCATGTTCGGTAATGAATACCATAATATGAAACTGATGAGTCTGTTGCGTAATAGATTTTGCATGAAGAGTTTAAAAGATTGCTTTTATTGAATATCTTTTATATTGGAAAGGTCATATATTCATGCTTAGATTATATGACATGATCTATGTGTTTTGGCAAAAGAAGGAAATGTCAGAGTGATATGCAGGGTCAAATTTGAGCATTGAACATGCCCTTTCTTTGCTTTTGAATGGAATGGTTTGAAACAATTACTGAGGCCATTGTCAAGCTGACCTAGTTTTGAAAACAAGTTTGTGAAGTAATTGTACATTACATTTTGCTGTAAATTAACAATCATAAAAACTGTCTGAGACAAACTTTTCTTGCTAAAGCAGAGAAGTATCACTAACTCAGTTTAGATGATACATGTCAGCTTTCAGTTTGTCAATTAGGCCACAAGAAAAGCCACCACAAAGGACAAGGAAGGATGAGGACCCTATTTGGCCACAGAGAAATGTCAAATTTTAAAGTTGCAAAAAACTTTGAAATATTGGTATGAAAATTATGAGACAAGCTCAAATGGCTTACAATCCTTTTTTCCTTTCTTACACTTACAAATTTTGAAATTCTGACATGACCAAAGACGTAACTGTGGCTTAATCTTTAAGCTATGGATTATAATGATAGATGGTTTCACTGAAGTGGCACCCATCAAAGTCCTCCATGGTCTTATCTCTTACATGAAGTTGACACACCATGATATTACTATAATACTTTTCAAACAGTTTTGTGTCCTATTTACTCATTAATTCTTCTGAACATTGAGAAAGATGAAAATATATCTCCCAATTCTTTAAAGAGTATGTGAGGTAATAGCACTTTACACCATACATACACCTGGACAAAAGGTAAGCACCCCCTGTGATAATGAATTATATCATTTCACTGTTAATTTTAATTTTTAACAGCAATGATGATTATTACACAAATCATGTTCCATGCATGCCACTCATGCATTCTCCAAAATGCAGTATGTTCAGGGATCAATTTTTGGTATAATCTGCTGTCTTGCAGTGTTTAATCCTTCCCTGTGAACATGGCATGGAGGAGGATATCAGAGGCGCAACGATGGCCAATATTTGTAATACATTCCATTTTTTGTCCTTCGAAGCTATTGGGCATCAACTAGGCTGCCGTTACACAGAAATCAACTATTGCTGAGAAAGTATAGTCCATCTATTGCTGCTAAGAACGTACCATGGACAGGATGACTTGTGACATATCAGGGAGAAGACAGGGCACTGCTTCAATTTGTATGACAACAGCCATTTGCAATGAGGTGACAACACCCTATTTACGGCTGTCCACCAGAAACTTGAGGAATCACTTGACAGAAGCAGGAATGTCATCCAGGAGAGTCATCAAATGCCCCTTACTACCAGATAACCATCAGAGGTTCCGTTTGGCATGATGTTTAGCATGCCAGGCTTGGCATCTGAGAATCTGGCGGAATATCATTTGGACGAAAGTAGGTTCCTGCTCCATATCTCAGAAAGATGACTAAATGTTCGGAGGCACAGGAAAAAGGCCTTTACACCTAGGGACATCAGGCAAACTGTCCCTGATGGTGGAGGTTTGGTAGTGATTTGGGGTGTATATCCCACAATTGCAACCTCACAGATAATCAATACATCCGAGATGTTTTGGAACCAGTTGTTGTCCCCCATTTCTACAACCACCCACTTGCCACTAGACTTCAGTTCATGGATGATAACAACAGACCCCATCGTTTTCAAGCAGTAAGAGCCTACTTCCAGAACTGTGACAAGTCCAGATCTGAATCCGCTGGACACATTCGGGACATCCTAGGACATCAAGTTCAGGCAGTGGAGCCTCCTGTACAAAATCTGCGTGAATTGTAAGCAGCTTTACATCTGAAGTGGCTGCAGTTGCTCCTTCAGTAGATCTGATGTCTTACTGGAGGGATAAGACACTTGGTGGAGGCAATCATCCAGACACGTGGAGGCTTTACTATCACTGAACTTTTGTCATCAAGAGACTCAACATGACCTTTTATCCAACTCTATAAACTCTACAGCTCCATTCTTTAAAGGGATTCTGTTAAGGGCTGAAACCATCACCTGTGGTTGTGCAACAATATCGTGATTAAAACCTAACCTCAGCTGACATTGGTGGTTGTTTCTTATTTTCAGAGGGTTGTTCTTACAGATCACATTTGTTTCTCTGAGCTCATATTGTCAGTAATTTCATTCTAGCACTTGTTTAATTTGCCATTGGAAAATGTCTGGGGTGCTTAACTTTTTCCCAGGTGTATATAAAAACATTTTATGAACAATCCCAGCAGGCCTATTGGCATATAGGTACTTCATGAAAAGAATTCTCTTCATATAAAGCTTTCACCACACAAAGACAGACAGTAACCAGTCTATGTGAGAAGGGGTCCTTGCACATCTGTTACACTCATTTTACTATTATCATGCATCAAACATTAAATTAACCATACCTTTCAATTGTTTCAAAAAGGTTAAAAGTTGTGTATGAAGATAAAATATTTGGTAGGATATGCAGAAAAAACAGGCACAGGTCATAGAAATAAATATATTTTTCCCATTACATCTTCTTTCCTTAAGCCTTACTGAAAAGCAAAACATCTTGTTTGAGAGTAGAAATTGAGCGTTGCTATACTCAGGAAGTAGTTGGCTGACAACATGTATACACTCACACTTCTGAGAAACTTCAGTGTTGGAAGCTTGACATTTTCAACCACTCACAGCCTGTGAATCAGGTAAACATGGTATTTCGCCTTAACAAATTTATGTTAGGCAATTTTCTGCTCTGCCAATGTGAAAAATTTACTCAAATGGTTCATTCCCCGAGGCTTTCACCGATTTATCATACTTGTCTACCATTTGTGTGGGAATCACACTTAGCAAACACAGTGTACTGATGGATGTGATTCATGGGGATTCAAAGAGTCTGGTTTAAAATTGT